ATAAACTGTTTGAGATGGCCTAACAATAAGTTATTACTCAATTGAAAATTTCCTCAAATTCAAAAAACTTAAGCTCAAACTAAAGACCATAAATGATTAAAGTAAATTAAATATAAAATTTAACAAATTAATTACAGAATAAATCAACCCTTGCATTCAAATACAGTTCACATTTCGGCCACTCCAATCAAGAAGCAAGATTTAACCCAGATGCAATCAACCTAACATTGCTTTAAAATTTAACAAACCCACTACTTCCTCTGGCCAAGGATGAAAAAATAGTACGTCGTTGCAAGCAAAAAGGTCCGGCGAGCAGGGCCATGGCTACACGAAGTCGAAAACGACGGAGGAGTGAACTGGGTGAAACCGTAACGGAAAAAGAAGCTTGAGAGGGATGAAGCAACATAGGGAGAGGAAGGGGAGAAAAAACCTCTGCCGGAAAATATTTTCGCCGGAACGAATGGCATGAAAAATCGAGAACTTAATCCCTATTAGAGGGATGAGAGAAGTCTGGGAAATGAGGAAGAAAAAAACCAGGAGATTTGTTGGTGGGGGTGATGCGTAGAAAATTGTGCATATTAATAGGAAATTGGGTCCAACATTTTAAATATATTTGAAGGGTAAAGAAGTAAATGCATAAGAAAACTGACGGTATAAGTTGTTTACACGTTGACCACAAATTATAGGGGTTATTTTGTTACGTTTTGTAGTCTAGGGTGGTGTTTGTGACAGACCCCATAGTTAAGGGGTGCAAACTGTACTTTTCCCGTAAGAAAATACATAGTTAAGAGGTGGTTGTAATTAGCCAAACAATATGAACTTTTTCGTAATTTAATATGTACCTCAGGATGTGACCGTAATTTACCCAAAAATAAAATAAATTCAACCTTTTTGCATTGCAAGAAGAAAAGCAACAAGAAGGCACAACAAGAAGGGTGTTCGATCAAAAAGTTTAAAGGGAAGAAATGGACTTTAAATTTAACCAAAAAGCTCATATAAATATCTGGTTTATTGGTAGTGATAAAGTAGAACAGTGTAATCCCTCTCTAGTTCAAATCAAAGTGTTATTACAAAACGACAACATAAATTTGTGGTTAAGATATCTTATCCCCTAATAATAATAAAGACTGAATTTTTATTTTATTTTTAAATATAAATAAAAAAATGGGCATGTTTACATAATCACCAAATTAAGAACACTAATTAATTCAAAGCTCCAAACATATATAGATTAATTAATGATTTCTAATAGGTATCAGATTTTCATAGATTCAATAAATAAAAATCAACAATTAAATTCAAATTGTTTTTTATTCTGACCTCAATAGGGCTGAGTTTTCTGATGTAAAACATCTCGGCAGATTCAGGAACGCCCCCAATATTTCTGCCCATCTTTCTGCATGCGCGTGAATCCCTAATGCAGGACCCGATTTTGCCCCAGTAACTATCACTCGCGACCCGATCCCAGAGCCAACCTGAGTAGTCCTGGAGCGAGTAGTCGAGGTAGGCCCGGTTCATCACGGGCTGGCCGGAACCCTTGCCGGTGATGGCGTAGGTGAAGATGACGAAGCCGAGTAGGGTGGCGATGATGATGAACATGGCCCACAGGTAGAGGTACATGAGGAAGTTGTTCCGTAGCAGGCGCCGGCGAATCCGGCGAGGGAGACGACCATGATGGAGACGCCGATTATTATGAGTGGCCACTGGAGGAACTTCGGGCAGTCGGTGTTGTTCGCGTGGCTGCTCAGCCATATTCCGCCGCCGAGGATGGGGATCGACAGGACGAAGGTGAGGAAGTTCACGGCGCCTATTAGGTGGTTGCTCGTTCTCATGGCTGCGGCGGTGGCGGTGGCGGTGGTTGTAAATTTATTTGAAATTTAATTTTGTCTTACAAGAGAGAGAGAGAGTACTGCAGTATTTATTGGGGAGCAGATATATAATCGGAAAAAAGCTTTGGGGGAAATCAAAATTTGTGGGAAACAGAGATAAGCATGCTTTTGTACACAGTTAATGACTAAATTACCCTCTGCAGAATGAGTGATTTACTGATTTTATTTAAATTTTGGTTTAATGGCACTTTGCCCCCCAACTATCGTGTGTTTTGCACGTAATATCTGGACAAAAAACATTTACAACATTTTACCTAAACTGTGCACGGTGCCTCCGTTTTACCAATCCAGTTCATTTCTCGTGCGTCACATGTCCATTCACTTCAAGTCTTTTAGGGCAAAAAGAATAAAAAACCGAGGGGAAATAGAAGTACGAATAAATTTGCAGTGAATGGACGTTTATACCCTAAAAAACCCATATGCAGACGAGAAATGAACCGAATTGGTAAAATTGAGGCACCGTGCAACAATTTAACGAGTTCAGGTAAAATTTTGTATATTTTTTTGTTAAGGGGGTAACGTTAAAAGCACGCGATATTTTTGGGGGCAAAGCGCCATTAACCCTTAGATTTTTGTTGAAACAAACTTTTACAAGGAAATGACTAGATTATCCTCTGAAAATTGTTGTATCCAACAAATTCAATGCAAATAATAAGTGTGTCCCTGAAAATCGAGCATATTTCCTGGAAGTAAAATATGGAACTAAAAAGGATATTTTCAAAAATTACAATTATTGCCTATTAAAAACCACTCAAATGTTTGTGACCCCACCATACAAAAATAGTTGCACATGCATATGAGTTTCCCCCATGCAAAGAAGGTCAAGTGGTCGGTGGTTAGAAACAGTGGGTCCTATTAAGAAATCATTTTAAATTATTACTATGTTGAAACTCTTGCGACAATGATCAAAATTAATAATCTACTCTTTTTTTTTATAATTAAATTAATAATCTACTTGATAAATAATAATACTATTCAATAATTTGATATGAAGTTATCAGCACTTTCAAACCATAGTTTTGCAAAGACTTTAAGGCGTGTTTGATGCCTTACAACCTTAAAAAATTTAAAATAAAAAAAAATATTTAGTAAATATTGCGTTATTCAGTACAGTTTTGGTATACTGGACATCAATACCGTACACCGTACTAATACCGAAATTCAAAAATAAAATATCAGTGTTGATTTAAATTGTAATTAAATTGTACAATCTTATTCGAATCTTAATTGAATTATCAGACTGGACTTTAAAAAAAATTATCTAGGCCTCCATCAATAGTTAGAAGCCCAATTTAGAAAACATATATTATTTCTGGCCCAAATTTATCTATAAATTACAGAAATTCTAGGGCTTCAAAATCCACAATTCTGCCGCACAAAGCCTAATCTGAGATTCACGGCAGAACAAGAAACTGAGAGACACACAAAGCGGCGAGCTTTGGAGCTATACGTGTTTGTTGTATCGTTGAAAACTCGAGCAGTTGTCGATCTTCTTATGTAAGTTCTTGTATTAACTGAAGCTTGAAGATTTTCTAAATCTGCTTTTTTTTTTTTGTTTTGTCTTGATGAAGCTTTGTGAATAAATTTTGTTTTGTTGATATGGTGTTTGTAATTTAGCCCCTTTTGGATTTATTTATATTAGAAAAGGCTGTGGATGAATTATTTGCAGAAATTGTTTATTGTGCATGCTAGGTGTTTGATGAATTGATTTGTGGTATTATTATTGTAAAAAGTCCATCTTGGCAAATCAGTTGAGCCCTTTTAAGAGCAAATGAGCTGCCTTGAATGCTAATGGACTAATATTAAATCTCTCTCTTTCTCTTAACTATTTTCCGCTTCTTCAAATCTGTTAAGTTTGCATATTAGTGGAGATGAAACATATTAAAAAAAATATTAAATAGTTGTTTGTTAAAATTCTGAATCTTTTGTATGCAAGGTGTTTGATGAATTGATTTTTTGGTGTCGAATTTATTTTTTTCTAGTCCATCTAGGCAAGTCAGTTGAGCCCTTTTAAGGGAAAATGAGCTGCTTTTGAATGCTAATGGACTTACAGCTAAATCATCTCTTTTTTTTGTTTCTCACCACTCACCGGAACACAGTAACCGGTAACCGCCGCCGGCTCGCATCAACACCACCGCCGCTTCTGGCCGTCCGACGTCCTCAATGAATCCCCTATTCAACTGAAATCACGCGTTTCAGCGTTCGTCGTCCAATTTTGACCGGAAAAGCGGCGATCGAACGCTACTGCAGCGGCAATTGAAATTTGAGTCTTCAATTTTAATGTAAATGGATTTCATCTCACATTTACGATCTAAAATTGAGTGAATGGTCCTTACACTGGGTTTTGGGCAGTTGAGAGTTGAGTTTGTTCCCTTCGGGCATCGATTTCTAAATTTATTCCCAAGCAATCAGTTTTCTCTGTGGTGGATTTGAATAATTGGAGTTGTTGATGTGAACTGAGTAGTATTGCCCAGCTAGGTGGTATTGCCATCGGAAGTGGCCCGGAATTGTGCATTCTTATGGAATTAACTGTTAGATTAGATTACAACATTCTACGATAGATTAAGATCGGTGGGATAACCTTCTCAATCTGGGCAGGTTGTTTTATTCTACGTAAATGTGGGCAGCTCGTTTTCTAGTTTAACATTGGTTTTTTTTTTGGGACATGTTTTTTTATGTGTTAGGAGATGTTTTCAGTATATTCAAACGTCTAATTTGGCGTGCTATTAATTTTACAATTACAATATATGTAAAATGTTGCAATTTTACGATCGGATTATTGAACCCCCTCTCTGGTTTTACTCAAAGTCTCGACTTTGTGTACCTTGCGTGCGAATCAAATGAATTCTTCTTCATTTTCTTGACATTTGTGCTTGATGGCTAGAGCTTATAGTTGTTGCCTTGTTGGTAAATTACGATATTTTTTATCTCCCTTAATGGTGTCTTTGATCTGGCATAGTTTGACGAATGAAAAGGTCGCTCGGGTCCCACTTTTCGAGGTACTCTCTCGTCAACTCTCTTTTCTCTAAAAAAATTCTTCTCTTTTCTCTCTTGTGATATGATTATGTCAAAGCTTAATATCCATGGTGGACAAGGAAAATAGGTGTTTGTCTTAATACTGTGTCTACTTTTCGTCTTATCGTTTTCTATGGAACAGATAATGGCAGCAAGATCGAAAGGAAAAACAGCCGAAGCAAAAGCCCTAGCGGAGCCCATGTCCACAATAGTTTCTCGGCTCCAATCCTGTTTAATTGAATCCAATTCTCAAGGAATCCTTTCAGGGAGCAGCGTTCTTCTTGCAGCACACGAAGAACAAACGGAGCTTTTCAACCACGCGTGTTTCGGCCGTCTCGTTATCACCACACAGAAGAACAAACAGTGGTTTCAACTATGCCACAAGGAAGCTTTTTACCTCTGCACCGTAATGAAATGCATCAAGATTGTAGGTCAAAATAGCTGCGTAAAAAATGAGGAAGAGCTGTGGGATTACATGTCGTCCAAGAGAGTGAATTTCCCGGTTCTGTATAAAGCGTATTCGCATCTTCGTACGAAGAACTGGGTGGTTAGGGCGGGGTCTCAGTACGGTGTTGACTTTGTTGCCTATCGGCACTACCCGACTTTAGTGCACTCTGAGTACGCTGTTATATCCTCTTCTACAGAAGAAGGAAACGAAAATGGACGTTTGAAGGTTTGGTCTGATTTTCATTGCACTCGTCGTCTCTGTGGCAGTGTTGCAAAAACGTTGTTGGTTCTCCACATTAGCAAAAACTGTAACGATTGTGACGGTTGCTAGTTATTCCCCTTGGAATATTAATTATTACAGCGTCGAGGAAAGAATCGTTGCCAGGTGGAATCCCGAGCAAAGCCGGGAGAATTGTACGGTTGCAGAGAAGGAATCGTGTAAGTCGTCATAAGCTTAACTTAACTCCTGTTTATTGTACCAGTTACTATGTTGTAAGATTTCGCCATCTTATATAAATAAGCGATTGCTGCAGAAATTGGTCTGTTGATTTTGGGCAGGAATCTGATGCATGCACTGTATCTAAGTAAAAGATTTGCCAGTACATCCATATCATGTACTAAGTATTTTAGATTTTTTTATTTTACTTTTTATTTTTTGTTTTTCATGTGCACATGTGATCAGGAAAAAATAAACAATAGGGCAAATTATGGATACCTCCCTTATTGAGATTCAATGGAAAATGAGCAAGAGATCCAAATAAATGATTATTCTTTTCACATTAATTCTCTCCAAAAATCAAACAACTGATAACCAAATATAATAGAAACCTCGATATAATAGCCAACCAACATAAGTTGATAATATATAAACGAAAATAAGTTACAGAAAATAGTGGAAAAAGAAAACATAAGAAAGAAAGAGGCAATCGATAACAAGTTAAAAAAAACAAGGTAAAAAAGGGAATATATACCAATGAAAGAGGGCAATTGATATGTACTCGAAGAGCCTTTCCAATTATCTGAGTATCAGAGGAGGAAATCTTTCGTCTCTTTCTTTTTGCCTAGCATCAATAATCTCAATTCAATAACTCGTAACAAAAATAAGGAGAAGACAAGGAGAAAATAAAAGAAAACAAATCAATAAAAAAGTTCAATCAATATGTATTCCAAGAGTTATCCAATTGTTTGAGCATATGTGTGTGTGAAACTTATTCTTGCCTCTTTGTTCAAATGGATATCAAGACTCTCCAACTCAACAATACCTTATTCCCAAAATAAACGAAATAAGGGATAAACATAATGCAAAAATAAACCTAACCTTTTGCCAATGTTTCTAGTCTGAATGAAAATCCTTGAAACTTTGTTCTTGCAAAACATATAACATAAAACATAAGAAAATAGGCAAGTTCAACAAACAATCAAGTGACAGAAAATGATAATGGAGATCCCTTGAGAGCTTAAGTACAATACAAAGAATATGAACGATTAACTTTATAAGGAACTATAACGGAGACGAAATAATACCGGAATAGTCTTGACTATAGGTTTGTTACAAGTCAGCCTTCCCCTGTAGCAACCAAACATCTTCAAGCAATTATAAAAAAAAAATACATTGCAAAATCTTAGTGAGTATCATCAAAATTTAAACAAAGTAAATAGTTGCAAAAGAATAGTCAGTATCATCAAAATTGAGCACTGTATCATAATACAAATGCACAATCACTAACTCAAATGTAGAATCCAGAGAAAGAGCGATGACTTGATTTTGCAGAAATCGTGAATCAACTTAACACTTCTATGAAGAATTGATTCACATCAAAACTCAACGGCCTCGTTGTCCCTCTTTCGTCAATGGAAAAAAAATACCTTGCTTTGTCATGTCCACCACAACTCAAAAGTCAATTAAACTCTTACATGGAAACTCATCAACCGCTCAACATTCACTGCCATAGTTGCCGTGAAACTAAAAATTTAGGGAAAACGTTCCTAATCCTATTCTTAAATTTTTTTTGTCGAATTTAAATGTTCTTTAAAACCTAGTTTCAAATTATTAAAAGATATGCGAGAGAGACAAAAATCGATTGCCGTCAAACTGAAAAAGGGGGAAAACATTCCTAGCCCTAACCTCTTTTTGCCGAACGGAAATTGTCTGCAAACCCTAGTCGCAGGAAGATTGAAACGATTTCGCGGGGGGGGGGGGGGGATAGTTGGGGGGGGGGGAATTTTAAGAGAAAATGGAGGAACTAACCTGCATAATTTTTTACTCAATAAACTCTCCCCTTCTTTATTTATTTATTTATTTATTTATTTATTTTATCTCTTACGGTAATTCAACTTGAAGGTATAAATGCCCCTAAAGGTTTGGTAATTACATGCAACTTATGAAATGTCCCAACAATCTATATTTGGGACACTTATAAAATTATGTCCCTAACAAAATGTCGTAATAGATGATTTTTGTTGTAGTGACACCCTTACGTAGTTTACATGTGCAGCATAGTTCTTAAACAGTTCCATTACAAGACACGTCATCACATTAATACAAAATATATAGACAGTGTGTTTTTTTTCTTTTCTTTTTTTTTTTCCGAAAACACCAAAAAAACTGCGAAATAACTCCACATACGCGCGTTGCTCGTAAAAATCTTTAAAATCCAAAGGCTGCGACTTCTCCATTCTTGTCTCTCCATAAGGCTCGTCGTTATCGATCCTTTTGTTGTGCCTAAAAGTAGCACAAGCAACTGTTAGAGTAGGTGACCAATAAGCCAACTAACTGTTGTGTTTCCTCACTCTACTCGTAAATAATCTATTTCATATTAATGGTAAAATACCTTTTGGCATTCTATATCTCTTATCCCATGCAAGCAGCATAGATATAGTCCTAACGAGTTACTCTATTACTGTGAGTTGATCTAGTAGAATCATGAGATAACTCAACAATGTAATGTAACTGTTAAACCTTGTTCCTAGTCGATGGCTTACGCCAATAATGAGGATACCGGCCTTTCCCTTTTGATACTAGCACTTAGTGTATGTGTACTGCGTCTCATCAGTCATCGGTGTTGTGACATCGGCATACTTGAGTGGGTGCTCATATTAGATGAGTTCACTGAACTCCCTCGCCTAGAAATAAGTGGTTCTCAATCATCGAGTAATAGGTTTCTATGATATAGTTGTGCACCATTTGTCCTTAAGACCCAGACATCACCGTGACTTCACTAGAGGACCGACTGTATCGTGACCTATCCCTGAGTCCCACCGCGGACCGCTCCAAGTGCCAACGTTCGTGTAGTCCGAAATCTAGTGTGAAGTCTGTGCATTGTAGTAGGGGATTCGAGCGCTTGAGCAGTCATGGATGTCCTGTGTGTTCTGTTGGTTTGTAATCCATGGAATCTCCAGCCGGAGTTGATAGTGGGGTGATTAGGGAAATGTGTTTCTCTAAGTCACACACGAACGGATTATAACACCTAGAACGTTCGTATGGTTATTGAACTTAATAAGAGGTCTCGGTGGACCAATGCCTCTAGTTCAATCGGGACATTTGCTGCGAAGGGATCGTACTGTACGTTAACTATATCACAAAGGTTCTTGCAGACACTTCATTTGTATCTAGGGAATCATGATGCGTAGTTGCTAGACGCCAATCTTGATTCGTTGGGCACCGATTTGATCGGGGATACGGTAAAATGAGTTTTACCCTTATCGGGACTCTTGGGAGGAGTTCGTATAAGAACAATGTGTTGTTCGAATCACAAAGAGTTGTGAGCCCACGGCTAGCTTACACCTGAACCATTGAGGGTCACACTTCTCGTGTAACATGGATCCTTGAAAAACAACAAGCATAGATTAATGTGTTAATCTTTGCGTAGTTGGATGTCAATATGATTGAATCTAAGATTCGTAATTGTGGATTACGAGTTGGAATAAACGGAGAGAAAGTGATATGCGGAAATTTAGTGAACTTTCTAAATTGGGAAGTTTCCCGATTTAGCATGTCCACTAAATTAGAAGTTTCCAATTTTGGAAATTGAAAATTTGAAAGAGGCACTCGTATCGACGAGGACTTTATGCTCGTCACAAATATAATTTTGTTATAATTTTGTGGACGATCGTTTGTAAGAAACGAGGCCGACGAAGGGGCGGGCTTAATGGATCAGTGGGTCAAGCCCAATGACTTAAGCCCATGAGGGTTATGATCCCTAGTATAAATACAACTCATATGATGAGTTGAGATCAGCTTTTGACAGCCCCAAACCCTAGCCGCATGAAGCACGGCCGTCCTCCGCCTCACGGTTGCAGCCCCGCCGCTGCACCGCCGCACCGCCGTCGCGCCGCCGCCGGTTTCTTCTCTTTTCTTCCTCGTCTTTATTCCCGTTGTTTTTCTAACTCTTCTGTATCTAGTGCTGCAGTTAGAGTGGGTCTAGTTGTACGAGGTGAAACCTAATTGGAGAGGAAGAACGCAACTCCACCACCGCCAGCCCCGTACGCGCCGTCGCCGTTGCCACGCGCCGCCACCGCTGCACCTCATGTGCCGCCGTCGAGATCAGATCGGACCAGCTGCTGTTCGGTCGGTTCTTCGGAGCCTTGGAGTTGTTTAATAGCAGCTTGTACGTGTCTTAGTTTATAGATTTCGATTCGTCGAAATCTCACGCTTCAAGAGGTAAAATCGAAAACCCCTGCGAATTAATTCATAATTGGATTATGTGAATTAATTTGTGAGCATGACAATTATATGAATAATGTATGTTTTCGATTTCATGATGTCGTATGCAAGCATGCTCGTCTTTGTTTTTCGTTTTATTTAATTTCGATTAAAATATGAAAAATTACCATGTGTATGGCGGAAGCGTTAAGGTACGTTCAATTAATTGATTTATGCATGTGATCGAACATTGAGTTCGATTAAATTTTTGTTTTTCGCTGCGTATACATGCATCGATCCCCAACAGCAACCACATAGAGTGTGACGAGGATTATCAAGATAACTATGTTAATAACTGACACTTTTCTCCAGCTCTTCTTCAAGCTAGCTACTACCCCAGCTTTGCAAGAATCGCACCCGTAGCATAGTTGCTCCTGGTCGTTGCTCCATTTTGTGCAATCTGTGTCGGGCCCCACGAGGCCTCCACCTGGCGTCCACACCGTCTCGTTTATGTACACGTAGCCGCATGATGTAGGCGGTTTGTAACATCCAGACTAGCACATGTAAAACCAATGTTAAGCATGCCAAGCTAAGAGTTATATTTGACTTGCCAAAAAATCTAGATTTGCTAAAAAAAGTCTTCATGTTATAATATTAGCAAAAGAACCCCATGGTGCATTTTGTTTTAGCACACGGCCCCCCTAAATGGTGTGTTTAAGGGGGTAGTCTGCTAGTTAAAAAATAGCATCATAAATGATTTTTGCTAATATATACATAACACGTAATCATAGGGATGCTAAATGCAATAAATTACCCCGTGTTATCCTATTAAGGCCTCGTGTGGTTGTCACAATGGAATAAGCCAAGATATACACAATCTTTTTAAATTCCGGATTGTATAATTTGACCAGCGGGTCCCATTAAGTCAAAATAAACAGATAAAGAGCATGGACGAAACCAAATAAAAGCCCGTTAATTAATCATGGCACAAACGAGAACTAGTTTCGAGAAATAGATACCGAGTGCATAGAAGCACGCGATAAGCAAAAATAGTATTATATGTTATATGCTTTCAAAAACTGTGTCGTTCCAATCCGCATCTCCCATTGTTTTCTTTTCCATTTAATTTTGAAGCAGCTCGACCGCGACACGCCAGCTTGATTTTTCCTTTTCATTTAATGTGCTTGTTCCTAAACGACGTCGTTTAGCTGCCTCACACATGGCCAACAATTGTTGACCTCCGCCGCTTCCATGCCCGTCACCGCCGTCGCTCTGTTCGAAGCCCACCGCCCCTGCCGCCAACGTCACTTCCCACCTCTTTTTCATCCAATCGCTGATTTGTCCCTTTCCAATCACATCCGAATTGGATAACTCAGGAATTGTAGAGTCATAAAATTTTACAAAGACGAGTTCCAACCGTGATTGTTGGAAGGGCAGGACTTCCGCTAGAGCTCCACCGAACAAGAAGATTCAGTCCATCAATTCTTCAATATGTTATTGTTTTAATTGTTTTTCTTCTAATAAAGCTCGGTGATGGTCGACGCTGTTTGTGTCTAACTTTGTTCACTTTTTTCCCTTTCTATAAAATTTTGGGTCGATGTTGATTTCGAGTTCCTCTTCGGGCAAGGTTAGCCCTGACATTATGTGAAATAAATTTCCATTTTTTGTGATCTTTACATGAAGATCGATGATTTTCTGTGATGTTTGCTGATGGGTAGAGTCATGTTGGTCGTGTGCAGACTTGGGTCGATGGGAGCTGTTGTTACTGGTAAAGGCCATGTTCCTAATGGTCGTGCCTATTGTTTTTTCGCTGTTTCATTCGTACCTTTGTGTTGTCTTCTTTTGTCGGCCTGTAATTTATTTTTCTAAGATACCATTTCAATATTTTTTTTTTAAATTATATGAATGGATTCAGATTTCAATGATCTCATTTTCTTTTCTAGGTTGCATGTTGGATCCACAGAAAACCAAATTGTTACGAAATCAACTTCTTGGCTACATGATGACATTGCTCAGGTTATAAATCATGATTAGCACATTTATACAATATTTATCATAATTAATTTGTTGTTCAGTTGTGCATGTATTTGATTCATATACTCACTTGAGATTGGCAATAGGGAGGGATGTTCTCGCAATTTATTTGGCTATTTTGATTTTTTTTCTTTCACTAAAAGGTTTGATTTCTCTGCTTCACTGTTTGTTGAATCTTCATAATTACTTCGAGTTGCTAATTCCTTCTACCTCATAACGTTTTCGAGATTATGCAAGTAAGGCATTCATTTTACTGTTCTAATTCTTTGCAGTCTACTCTACTGGCTCCTTTCTACTCAATGATGCATTGTGCACATACAGTTGCTTACAAACCTATTTTAAACATGTAACAGAATAAACAACACCCTTACGTAGTTTCCATGTGCAACATAGTTCTTAAATAGTTCCATTACAAGACACGTCATCACATTAATATAAAATATACCGACATTGTGTTTTTTTTCTTTTCTTTGCAGTCTACTCTACTGGCTCCTTTCTTGCAGCAGTCCCACTTTCAGTAATTAGTATTCTAATAGAAGATACGGAAGTCAACACCAGCTCGACCTTCAGTAATTACTTGTGGAGTTGGTTGACTGTTAACGATGAAAACCTATTATGATTCTCTTTTTCCAATTTTAAATCAGATTTCTTATGATTCTTAATGTGAATTTAGGTGGCCAAAGCTTTGCTTGATTCTCGTTTTGGCAATCTCACAGGTTCTAGTGCAGTATAGTAAGAATCGATACAATATTGCAATATTGTAAGAATTGATACATAAACTCAAAATTCAAATAAATCATCTTGTTTATAAAATATATCTTTGAAAAAGTGTTTTTGGGTGTAATAAAACAGAGAAAACGCACGTCTTTTGGCCATGAAAAAAGCAGGAAGATGGGGAGTTATACGGATATCATCATGTTTCACGATTTTCTTCTCCTTTTTTAGTATATGCAAAATTAATCGAATACTACCACTCTGTATTTTGGTCAGAAAAAAGGATATAATCCTTTGACCTATTTGCAGCTTCTTACTGCATGTTGTTTGGTTATGTCGTAATTATATTTATTACTCATTCTTATCTCACTATACATCCTTACATTTTGAATGTTAGTCTACATATTTTTCAGGAAAGATGACACTTATTCATTGTTATGCTTCTTCTCTGTTTTTTACACTGTTGTATAGGCTGCACGCACTGCGTGGTTTTTTTTACTAGCTACCTAACATGATTATATTTTTTTCCAAAAACAGATTTAGCCGCTTGTTCATGGATATAAATGAGCCCTTTAGTTTGTATTACACAACTTTATTATAACATATGCAATTTTCTCTGTCTAGATTTTCATCCTGCAGGCATTGGCGGTGATGGTCTTTTCCGCTATGGGACAAATTTCCATGAAATTGAGGTTTGGGAACCAACACATAATTGTTGTATCTTGATTTTTCAAAATGCTTGTCTACTGTGAGCTGATGCTTTTTTGTTTCCAGAAAATTGGTTATGGAAACTTCAACCAGTTTTTCAAAGTCTTGAAGAGACTTGATGGTTGCATGTATGCCGTAAAACATAGCATGAGACAGGATGTAGAAAGGCAATTTAATTTAATTTACTTGTAATGATCAGCTGCTTGTACTTACGCCACTCGCTTTTTGCAGCAAACTTATGTTTAACACTGTCACAGGTGCAAGGCTTTGATGGAAGTTCAAGCTTTGGCAGCTTTAGGTTTGTTACATTATTATATTCTTTTTATTTTTATCCAAAGATTGAGATTTTTAAACTTTTCGATTCCCATTTTTCTCAGGGTACGTACCACGAGAATATAGTTGGCTATTATTTTTCGTGGTTTGAAAACAAGCAACTTTACATCCAATTGGAGCTATGCGAGCACAACCTATCTCTCGATAGAATACCTAAACTATTCACAGAAAGAGAAGCTTTAGAGGCAATGTATCAGGTGAATGATTTTGAATCTATAACGTGACGTAATTGTAGCTGATTATTAACTTTCTGCGGTTTGTTTATTTTATCTTGATGAGTTAAATATTTAATTAGAATTGTTACAGGCTGTTAGATGGGATTGACTATGACCTTTCCCAGAGGAGATTTTTCATTGAAAAAATAGCATTCGTGTAGATTGCTAAAGCAGTGCAGTTTATACACCGGAGAGGAGTAGTCACTTGGACGTAAAGCCAGAAAACATTTATGTAAGAAATGGAGTTTATAGACTTGGTGATTTTGGTTGTGCGACTGCCGTTGATAAAAGCTGGCTAATTGAAGAAGGTGATGCTCGGTACATGCCCCAAGAAATCCTGAACGAGAATTATGAAAATCTAGACAAAGTTGATATATTCTCGTCAGGAGCTTCCATCTATGAACTTGCAAGAGGGTCACCGTTACCTGAATCAGGTTCTCATTTCCTTACTTTTAGGGAAGGAAAGCTGCCCCTTCTTCCTTGTCGTTCAATCCCGTTTCAGAATTTAATCAAGCTAAATTACCTTCTGCTTTTATGATATGAAAAGTAGGTCTTAATCGAGGATATCCAATCTGTCTTTACTATTAATATTTGATAATTTTGGTGAAAACTATCGTGATAATTATGTAAATATAACATTCGTTTCTTTGAGTTATATAGACTTGGTGTAACAACCTACAGAGCAAAATTAAATATTCGAGTTTTCAGAAAACTATATGCAGGGAAAGCTCGAGTAGATCATTTTAAATGATGTTAATTATTAATTTATAGTGAGCATGTTCGATAAAAGCGCTTTGCATTGCTACAGATTAACTTGCGTACTGGTATTCGATTTTCTTTTGATTTGTTAATCGTTCAGATGATGATGGATGCAGATCCTGTTCGTAGACCAACAACCAAAGAAGTAGTTAAGAATCCAATGTTTTACAGGATTGGAAAGAACAAATAAATCAAAAGTAAACAAGTATTTAATTAGGTTTCTAGCAAAACTTTGCCGCCGAGGTTCAAATGTTTGAATTTTTTTAGTCTGACATTTTTTTGATTCGGTATTTTATTGGAAATATGTTTTTAGATGATCAATCTATACAGCTACATCAAACTGCAGGATGTGTTTGAAGTTGTTTCCCTTTCCTTTGAAGATTCTAAGTAGCTTGTCAATAATTTCGCCACTACCCGGTGAGTTTCATGATAATTACCATTGTTGTTCTGTTTTTGCTTTTCCATTGTTACTACTGTTTTCTGTCGGTCTTTGAATATTAATATTCAAATTATGTGGTGAACAACAGGTTGTAGAGTTTAGACAAGTTATAACTTTCCAAGTTCTCGTGTTATTTATCCTTTCGTACAAACGTCTCATCATAGTGTCTACCTTTCTAAGGGGAAACAACTCCTTCGTTTGTTTGCTCGCTATTTTTTTTCTTCATTGATAATAGTAGACTGTTATTTTTGGTCGATTATTTATGTTTTATATTTATTTTTTTTGGATGTATGCACATGGATTCTGGTACCGATTTTTAATTTCCCTTGTCGATTTTCAGTTGGTGTTTCAATTTCAATGGAAACACTTAGCTTTCAGATCTGCTCGTGTGTGATGGCTGCAGTGTGTGTCCTCGAAACTGCCTCGACCCAAGAACTGTTTAAAGGTAATTTTTGTGCTTCTCGTATTTTATTCGATGTTAGGAACAGTAAAAGTAAATTATGCCATTTTACGTGTCTATGGCTCTGATGGGAAAAATGAACTTCAAGGGCAGGCCCCCTTGCCGATGCCGAAACTTCGCGGGGATGCATATGGCTTTTAGTTTCAATTTGTGAGAGTCAATTCGTTGAAAGTAATAATCATTGCGTGTTTATTTGCTATTTATGCATTGCCAATTAACTATGGGAGTTCGATTGATGTTACAATTAATTGTCCACAATTTAGAAATGACTCAAAGTTAGGTGCTATCTAATGGTATATATAATGGAGCCTGCTTTGTTTCTCTTGAACTTTTCATATAGTGATGAGCCTTTTTTCTACTTCTTGCATGCTTGTTTTATTTCTGTGGGAGTTAGTTTGCTTCGGTTATAATTGGACCTTAAATTATTTATGTTTATATCTTTATATTCGTGATTTTTACAAGTATTTATTTAATTTTGACTCGATAGTTTATTCTAAAGGTGTGATGATAGAAGTCACAACATGGGCTTCAAATATAGGGTTTGATCTAATCAGATGTTATTTTCATACTTCGACTGAATTGAGGTTCAGTTCTTAATTGAAGCCTTGCTAAATAACACGATAAAAATTGCCTTTTGCCTGGTATTTTGGCTTTGTATGCAGAAAACATGCTGCAGAACCACCTCGTTGATTTCAAATTGCTGCAAAGTCTATTGACCTTCTTGTTGGACAGAGCAGAAGTGTTAGTTTTTGCCTATGCATACGGTAACAAAAATGGTACGTAATTTCTTTTGTAAATCAATCCATATTACAGTACAAAAAACTGGTTAAAATTGTTGAGCTTTTTCGACCCTTTTATGGTTTCTTTGCATAATGCATATGTTAGTATCTTATAATACTTGTGAAATTTGCCTAAACACCGCCTACCATGCAATTATTGAGATTTTCCTAAACACCTTCTAGCATATGATCTTATTTCCTCCATCATATATCTCGATCTTATTTATTATGTTTTGATTCTTTATTGATTAATACTATTGGTTCATTTTTTATCTTCTTCTTACAGTTTGTCCGTGTTATTATACGCCTCTGTCCTTTCTTTTCTTTGCTCTTCTTTTCACGATGTGTATGATCGACCTGTTTGCTTCTTCTTTTCTCTTTTCTTTTGTTCTCGATTTTTTTCTTCTCTTGCTTCTTTGTCCTCAATCGTCGCCTTCAATTGCTGAATCGCCGTTGAATATTTCTCGATTTTGCTTCCAGTTTTTGTTCTTCTCTGTGGGTGCAAGTTCCCGGGTCTGAATTGGATTTCCTACAATCTTGTCATTGGATTTTTTTTTAAAAATCATTGATTCTGTCATGGTTAATACAAGTCATCTATTTGTATAGAACATGCAGCCATTTTTTCATCTATTTAACGAATATTGGATTGCTATTCTATTTATATATGCATATCACTACAAGAAAAAATGGTTTTAGTGACGATTTGTTATGGTTGCTAAAAGTAAGAAAATGGTTGCTAAAACTTATAGCGACCAAATTAGGCTTGGTCACTCGTGGTCACAACAGGGTGGCTACTAAAAGTATCAGTGACGAGCAAATCAGTTGGACGCTACATACATAGATTTAACGACCATCCAATAATGGTCATTAAAGATGGAATCATTAGCGACAAATATTTGACTCGCTAATGTTAAAATTAATGGTCGCAATAATATTAATATGGTTGTTATAGGTATATATATAGTGACCAAATATTTTTGGTTGATAAATGATATTCTTTTAGCAACCAAGTAGGTGGTTGCAATAGATTTTATATGGCCACAAACATAACATATTTTAGTGACCACATTGCGACCAATAAATTTATTGCTCAAAATAATAATTTAACTACAAGAATAGCTGGTTGCAATAAATTTTTATTTGTCACAATATATACCTCAATTTATGTGCATATAATAAATTTATTGCTGCTAAAAAAAAAAGACCAAATAACAATTGTAAGGAAAAATAATTAAAATTGATAGCTAGTTTGTACAAATTAGTAAGTAGCTAAGTAATTGTTGACAAGTCAATTAAATCAGTGATTAATACATATACAGGAGAAATCAAACACTGTCTTGCATACTAGTTGAACTAAACACCGTAATGACAACATTCACATCTGGAACTTGATTGAAGTAACATTATGAGATTCAACTGCCTCTCTGCCTCTCTTTGGGTGCCTGAAATTGGATGCCACAAAGAATCAGAAGACATACATGCAATAGTTTTCCCAATGTACTGATCATATAAGCAAAAAACACAACAAGGAAAATCTTATGGAATTAATCGATTTACCTTATCAGTAGAGCCACTAACTAAACTTTACCCTCAATTGCAAATTTGGCACTTAAAATTTATAACCTACGTAAGAGATGAAAATAGGGATCCAAGTTTATGAGAAACCAAGTTCAACGAATTTATCATAAAGAAACATGAAATGAAATATGCATATGATGCACCAGTTTTACCTTGTTTAAATGCACCAGTTACTACCTGACCTTCTGCAGGTCTGTCAAACATAACAACTTGTTAATCAGATCCAATAAATATAATGGCAATTACATCCTGAAATAATTATAGAAAAGCAATATAATAGCTAGCATAAATGTAAACTTAGATTTTCCAGCTATATGTAAGACATGAACATATACCTTTTGTATGTCAATTTCTGTTTGGGGTGGAAAACAAACTTGAATTGAACACAATGCCATTTAATAATCTGAACAGCCATAGCTATTCTTACCAAAGAAAATGTGATCCCAATTCAAGTTGTTAATAAGAGGTCAGGACTCGACCGGCCTTTATCTAAGAAGTCGAGGGAAATACACTATTTATTTAATAACATTTTTTGGATTACCTTAGTCGTAAAAGAAAAGTGCAAAATAAAAGAATTATGTTGTTTCTCATGTTATCCTATTATTCACGAGTAACTATTCCACTTACCTCTTATGAATCAAGTGCGGGGATTGCAAGTAGAAGATAAGATACAATAATATGTTCCCTGCTCATCCGTGGTTCTAAATCCATTAACCTTTGCTCCAGACATTGTATTCGGGAATGCAGTGCCGCCTCAAACTACCTAAAAGAATTTCACAATGTATATATGTTAGGCTCTTTTAAAGTAATGAGCTATAATATCCGAAAAGAAACATCAACGTTGGTAGTGAACATCAATGACTGCAAATGTGGAGGACAACAAACCTCAAGCACAAATGGCATCCATGGCCTCCATTCATGTTTTTCGGATTTTAACTGGGTAACATTCTATCTATAAAAACTCTTCCCCTTTATTGTTAGTAACCCATCACCAAATATAAAAACTTCTCCTTTTTTACTGTTAGTAACCCATAACCAAATATTAGTTCATTGACAATATGTGAGAAATATGTACCCAATTAATAACAAAGATATATATTTAATGCAATAAACAAAAATCTCAACCAAATATTTCAATTTTATCCAATGTTTAAGAGCCCAACAAATAAGAAGTCAGATTCAATCTAAAAAATCTCAATTAAGAATTCAATTTTAAGTCGTTTATAATGATAAAATAAATTCCAAAACGAATATAAATATGAATAAACTATATAATTTCTTGTTTCCGATTTCAAGATTTGGGATTACTGAGAAACCTGAGAAATCATGAAGAAATTGTGCTTAAGTGGTCGACAACAAGGCCGACGGGGGCTGTAGAGACGACGCGAGATGAGGTGAGGGTTCATGATAGTTATCTTCATATACTATGCGATGGATCGAGGGTCGATTACTGAGCGATCGATAGACGGAGCCGATTATCAAGGGATGAATCGATTGAGCCGATTATGGGTCGAGGGAGGCTGTAAAACCTAAAACCGAAGAATGGATCTGATATACAATTGTAAGAAAGAGGGGTTTTCTTTTTTTTTTTTGGATGGAAAAGAGAGAGGGGTTTTCAATCCCGTATAAACTATTATTATATAAAATACATTAATACAAATTTGCACATGTATTTCATTATAAAAAAAAACTATTATTATATAAAATACATTAATACAAATTTGCACATGTATTTTATTATAAAAAAAATCTACATCATACCTTGCGTATTTATTAAAAATAAGAACCTATAAATAAAATTAAATATATTTTGAAAAGTACAAATACTGGGTTAGTGTATTATTATTTTGTTAAGAAATAAATTTTGGAATTAGGATTTTCATATATTAATTAGTTTAAATAAATTTTAAAAATTTCAAATGGTTGCTTTTAGAAAACTATTAGCAGCCAAAATAATTCCGTTAATGTTCACTCCAAAAATTTATAGCAACCATTAATCATTTTGTTATCAAATTAGTCGCTATTAATATTATTTACAGTGACCATTAAATGAAGGTCGCTAAAGAGTAGAGATTTGGTCACTATATAACTACTCAACTCTGGACAAATTATAGTGACCATTTATAGCTACCAAATATTAGTTGGTTGCAAAACAAATACGTAAATTGACTATTGCAACCAAATTAGTACTGGTCGTTATATGCATATATGCAGTGACCATTTTCTGATCATCGCTGAAAAATTGGTTGCTAAAGCTAGTTTTTCTTGTAGTGTATGTTTTTCAAGATAAAAGACCATTAGATTGGCATAAGAGAATGAAGGTAGCTTGCGGTCTTGGGCTTCAGTTTTTACACGACAAGGCGAATTCACCAATGATGAACCTCGTACCGAACTCATCAAAAACTTTCCTTCACTTTTGTTATATATACGTTCTGAATGCAAACATTTGACAGTTAAGATCGCAATTTATTGTTAGATCTTTCGGACTTCTTTAATTCGAAAACCTGTACATTATTCCTTCTGCCGAACAATCATTGCCAAACAATCTTTTACTGCTTGACATAAAATAATCTTTTAATATCGGACATGAATAGTCGGGAATAGACATCACGCAGGGCACCGCGCCTTGCGCGGTGCTCGTTACTAGTACATATATATATATATATATATATATATATATATATATATATATATATATATATATATATAATCCCTAAATTTAATATAAGAAGGAAATATCTAATGAAAGGACTCCCCATATATGTTGTCAGGCCATGTGAACAAGTTATGGAGCACGTTCTTAGCAATTACTCAATCAATGCTTGGAAAATAAATAATGCCAATTATTATCTCAGGATAAAATTAAAATACTAGGTAAAAGAAAAAAAAACTTCAAGTGTAGACAATGACAATAGCCCTTTGGCTTTTGGTAAAAGACACAAGAAGAAAGTGATACGTACCAGAAACTATACATAAATAATTATTTTATTTTATTTGATGATAGCCTAGCTTTCATATTATTGATGTCGTTTTCGTTTTCTTGTAATTCGCATGGTTTTTTCTTCGACTAGCTAGGCCATTATACATTATGATTAAATGAATGTTTGATGAACAATAAAATAAAATTGGGCAAATTACGGCCACCCCCAGAAGTAAGGTCAAATTACGAAAAAATCCTAATGTTTGGGTAATTACAACCACCCTTTAACTATGATTGTTCTTACACGTCCACCCTTACGGTGTCAAATTCAATAGAATGTAAAAGATTCTGTGAAATGTTCTCTAGTTTGTACTCATTTTGTGCAAAAAGACAGTTTTAGATGCACCACAATCTGATATTTACAAGTCAAGAGACATATCTTATGATCATCTTGTTTTAAAATGTGGATCTAGAATAAGATAAAACGGGTACAGACGGAAGAATATTCCACTAGAACATTACAATAAATTTGACACCGTAAGGGTGGACGTGTAAGAAAATGGAAAAGTACAGTTTGCACCCCTGAACTATGGAGTCTGTCACAAACACCTCCCTATACTACAAAACGTAACAAAAAGACCCCTCCGTTTTTAAACCGTTTGTAATGTGGTGATGTGGCAGTTGACCCTCTCTTATTTCATTATTTTGACATTTTTACCCTTCACTTTGCTATATCTATATGAATAAAAAGATATTTACATTTTCAGTATAAAGATATATTTTTTCACCCCAAACTTAAAATTGTAAATAAGCAAAATACTTAAATTTAAATTGATTATGTATTCCAATTTTAATAATTATTTTATTTCATCCCAAAATGTTTTATATCATTAACTTATTAATATAGTAACATATTCAATTTAATTAATACATAAACAAAAAAAATCAGAAGAATAAATATTTTTTTTAGTTGGAGCATATAAATTTTCTAACAATAACTTATTACTCAATTGAAAATTTCCTCAAATTCAAAAAACTTAAGCTCAAACAAAAGACCATAAATGATTAAAGTAAATTAAATATAAAATATAACAAATTAATTACAGAATAAATCAACCCTTGCATTCAAATACAGTTCACATTTCGGCCACTCCAATCAAGAAGCAAGATTTAACCCAAATACAATCAACCTAACATTGCTTTAAAATTTAACAAACCCACTACTTCCTCTGGCCAAGGATGAAAAAATAGTACGTCGTTGCAAGAAAAAAGGTCCGGCGAGCAGGGCCACGGCTACACGAAGTCGAAAACGACGGAGGAGTGAATTGGGTGAAACCGTAACGGAAAAAGAAGCTTGAGAGGGATGAAACAACATAGGGAGAGGAAGGGGAGAAAAAACCTCTGCCGGAAAATATTTTCGCCGGAACGAATGGCATGGAAAATCGAGAACTTAATCCCTATTAGAGGGATGAGAGAAGTATGGGAAATGAGGAAGAAAATACATAGTTAAGAGGTGGTTGTAATTAGCCAAACAATATGAACTTTTTCGTAATTTCATATGTACCTCAGGATGTGACCGTAATTTACCCAAAAATAAAATAAATTCAACCTTTTTGCATTGCAAGAAGAAAAGCAACAAGAAGGCACAACAAGAAGGATGTTTGATCAAAAAGTTTAAAGGGAAAAAATGGACTTTAAATTTAACCAAAAAGCTCATATAAATATCTGGTTTATTGGTAGTAATAAAGTAGAACAGTGTAATCTCTCTCTAGTTCAAATCAAAGTGTTATTACAAAATGACAACAGAAATTTGTGGTTAAGATATCTTATCCCCTAATAATAATAAAGACTGAATTTTTATTTTATTTTTAAATATAAATAAAAAAATGGGCATGTTTACACAATCACCAAATTAAGAACACTAATTAATTCAAAGCTCCAAACATATATAGATTAATTAATGATTTCTAATAGGTATCAGATTTTCATAGATTCAATAAATAAAAATCAACAATTAAATTCAAATTGTTTTTTATTCTGACTTGAATAGGGCTGAGTTTTCTGATGTAAAACATCTCGGCAGATTCAGGAACGCCCCAATATTTCTGCCCATCCTTCTGCACGCGCGTGAATCCCTAATGCAGGACTCGATTTTGCCCCAGTAACTATCACTCGCGACCCGATTCGAGAGCCAACTCGAGTAGTCCTAGAGGGAGTAGTCGAGGTAGGCCCGGTTCATCACGGGTTGGCCGGAACCCTTGCCGGTGACGGCGTAGGCGAAGATGACGAAGCCGAGTAGGGTGGCAATGATGATGAACATGGCCCACTGGTAGAGGTACATGAGGAAGTTGTTCCGGTAGCAGGCGCCGGCGAATCCGGCGAGGGAGACGACCATGATGGACACGCCGATTATTATGAGCGGCCACTGGAGGAACTTTAGGCAGTCGGTGTTGTTCGCGCGGCTGCTCAGCCATATTCCGCCGCCGACGATGGGGATCGATAGGACGAAGGTGAGGAAGATCAGGGCGCCTATTAGGTGGTTGCTCGTTCTCATGGCGGCGGCGGTGGCGGTGGCGGTGGTTGAAAGTTTTTTGAAATTTAATTTTGTCTTACAAGAGAGAGAGAGAGAGTACTGCTGTATTTATTGGGGAGCAGATATATAATGGGAAAAAAGGTTTGGGGAAAATCAAAATTTGTGGGAAACAGAGATAAGCATGCTTTGGTACACAGTTAATGACTAAATTACCCTCTGCAGAATGAGCGATTTACTGATTTTGTTTAAATTTTGGTTTAATGGAACTTTGCCTCCCCAACTATTGTGTGTTTTGCACGTAATCTCTGGACAAAAAACATTTACAACATTTTACCTAAACTGTGCACGGTGCCTCAGTTTAACCAATTCAGTTCATTTCTCGTGCGTCACATGTCCATTCACTTCAAGTCTTTTAGGGCAAAAAGAAGAAAAAAACGAGGGGAAATAGAAGTACGAATAAATTTGCACTGAATGGACGTTTATAGCCTAAAAACCAATATGCAGACGAGAAATGAACCGAATCGGTAAAATTGAGGCACCGTGCAACAATTTAACGAGTTCAGGTAAAATTTTGTATATTTTTTTGTTAAGGGGGTAACGTGCAAAGCACGCGATATTCTAGGGGGCAAAGCGCCATTAACCCTTAGATTTTAGTTGAAACAAAATTTTACAAGGAAATGACTAAATTACCCTCTGAAAATTGTTGTATCCAGCAAATTCAATGCAAATAAGAAGTGTGTCCCAGAAAATCGAGCATATTTCCTGGAAGTAAAATGTGGAACTAAAAAGGATATTTTAAAAAATTACAATTATTGCCTATTAAAAACCACTCAATTGTTTGTGACCCCACCATACAAAAATAGTTGCACATGCATATGAGTTTCTCCCGTGCAAAGAAGGTCAAGTGATCGGTGGTTAGAAACAGTGGGTCCCATTAAGAAATCATTTAAAATTATTACTATGTTGAAACTCTTGCGACAATGATCAAAATTAATAATCTACTCTTTTTTTTCATAATTAAATTAATAATCTACTTGATAAATAATAATACTATTCAATAATTTGATATGAAGTTATCAGCACTTTCAAACCATAGTTTTGCAAAGACCTAAGGTGTGTTTGATGCCTTAAAACCTTTAAAAATTTATAATAAAAAAAAATATTTAGTAAATATTGCGTTATTCAGTACAGTTATGGTATACTGGACATCAATACCGTACACCGTACTAATACCGAAATTAAAAAAAAAATATCAGTGTTGATTTAAATTGTAATTTAATTGTACAATCTTATTCGAATCTTAATTGAATTATCAGATTGGACTTTAAAAAAAATATCTAGGCCTCCATCAATAGTTAGAAACCCAATTCAGAAAACATATATTATTTCTGGCCCAAATTTATCTATAAATTACAGAAATTCTAGGGCTTCAAAATCCACAATTCAGCCGCACAAAGCCTAATCTGAGATTCACGGCAGAACAAGAAACTGAGAGACACACAAAGAGGCGAGCTTTGGAGCTATATGTGTTTGTTGTATCATTGAAAACTCGAGCAGTTCTCGATCTTCTTATGTAAGTTCTTGTATTAACTGAAGCTTGAAGATTTTCTAAATCGGCTTTTTTTCTTTTTTGTTTTGTCTTTCTGAAGCTTTGTGAATAAATTTTGTTTTGTTGATATGGTGTTTGTGATTTAGCCCCTTTGGATTTATTTATATTAGAAAAGGCTGTGGATGAATTATTTGCAGAAATTGTTAATTGTGCATGCTAGGTGTTTGATGAATTGATTTTGGTATTATTATTGTAAAAAGTCCATCATGGCAAATCAGTTGAGCCTTTTTAAGGGCAAATGAGCTGCTTTGAATGCTAATGGACTAATATTAAATCTCTCTCTTTCTCTTAACTATTTTCCGCTTCTTCAAATATGTTAAGTTTGCATATTAGTGGAGATGAAACATATTAAAAAAATATTGAATAGTTGTTTGTTGAAATTGTGAATGTTTTGTATGCAAGGTGTTTGATGAATTGATTTTTTGGTGTCGAATTTAATTTTTTCTAGTCCATCTAGGCAAGTCAGTTGAGCCCTTTTAAGGGCAAATGAGCTTTTTTTGAATGCTAATGGACTTACAGCTAAATCATCTCTTCAGTTTTGTTCCTCACCACTCACAGGAACACAGTTACCGGTAACCGCCGCCGGCTCGCATCAACACCGCCGCCGCTTCCGGCCGTCCGACGTCCTCAGCGAATCCCCTATTCAACTGAAATCACGCGTTTCACCGTTCGTCGTCCAATTTTGACCGGAAAAGCGGCGATCGAACGCTACAGCAGTGGCAATTGAAATTTAAGTCTTCAATTTTAAGGTAAATGGATTTCATCTCACATTTACGATCTAAAATTGAGTGAATGGTCCTTACACTGGGTTTTGGGCAGTTGCGAGTTGAGTTTGTTCCCTTCGGGCATCGATTTCTAAATTTATTCCCAAGCAATCATTTTTCTCTGTGGTGGATTTGAATAATTGGAGTTGTTGATGTGAACTGAGTAGTATAGCCCAGCTAGATGGTATTGCCATCGGAAGTGGCCCGGAGTTGTGCATTCATATGGAATTAAGTGTTAGATTAGATTACAACATTCTACGATAGATTAAGATCGGTGGGATAACCTTCTCAATCTGGGCAGGTTTTTTTGTTTTTGTTACATGTCTGGTTACAATCTTCGGGCACCTCAAACGGGATATGAATGGCTTCCAAGTGACGAATACCTCCAAAACACCTGTGATATGCCTCCGTTTTGTTCAGCATGTGGTGGAAATCATTATTCCGATCAATGTTGGGGATCACCAAAAGCGACAAATTTCGTCGAAATTACCAACGGAGGTTATTGGAACACTTGCACCAACACATACAAGCAAAGCTTTCAAGACCAAGATTTGAACGAGTTTCAACATAGAGAGCCACAATTTTCTGATTTTCAAAATTATTATCCCTCGCAGCAACAAACCACTGATGAACAACTTGATTTGGTATCCCTCATTGCCGAATTCATGAAGTCCACTCAAGCATCATTTCGAAACATGCAGATACAACTGGAAGAGATGGCGCTCAAATTAAAATCTGAGTCTCTTGAAAATATTCCAGACGAAATCGGCAATGGTTATATCAAAGAAAATTCGGGTGAAGCCTGCGGTGAGAAAAATCTTCCATGTCCAGGAAATAGTGTCGATATGAGAGAAATAGAAATTACGAAGACACATGAGGATGATGAATCTGAGAATGCAATCGAGCTAAACTCCAAAGATGTCTCGGAACAAGAGAAGAAGGAGATGTATGTGGTTAGTGCAAATATTCAAATTGAGGATCTTATTGTTGTTCATGACGTGGCTTTGAAGGCATTAATAGAGGTTGACAAGAAGGCGAATGTGTTTGAAGTGGAGGTTATACACAGACTTGAGGTTTTTGTGTACCGATTTGAGGGAGCGGGTGATGAAGATCCCATCTTGGCTTCGTACCGATTGATTACAACAAAAAAAAGACTACAAGTTAAGGTGGACCGTGACATATTGCAGTGCTATCCATACCTTGGTTGCAATTGAAGTGATAATGATCATGGATGGATGCGTAATCTACAAGGCTTTGGATTGGACATAACGATTTCAAGAAGCAAAGTTCGGCTGGAGACTTAAAATTGAGCGCTTCTCGTGAGGCAACCCGAGCATTTATCGTTTTTTTTTCTCATATTTTTCGTATTTTTAGTTGTTTTTTATTTTCTTAGAATATATATAAGCTTGCAATCTAATAATTTAATCATGTTTGAATTTTTAGGTCGAAAAAGGACACAAAGAGTCCAGACGGCCGTTCGAAAATCAAGCCAAAATCCAGACGGCCGTCCGGAGAAGTTACGACGAATTGTGAACCTACTGTTTGTGGGACGGCCGTCCCGAAAACAGTGCAAAACGTGGGACGGCCGTCCGGAACACCCCTGAAAAAAAAGGTGTTTGCTTGAAAGAAGAAGAGATGGAGGGGTGCAACACGTGGAGGACGTTTCAACTAATCAAGGTGTATTCTATCCTTAAACTTCGTTTTAATTACATTGAGAACAATGTAAATTTTAAGTTTGGGGGTGGAAAAACAGTTTTTATGTGCTTTATAGGTTTTAGATTGCATGCTTTAGGATTTTATTTCTTTATAGTCGTTTTCGTTTATATATTATTTTCTTTAAAAAAAAATTGCTTGAGTCGAACGCATCGATGAGTTATGATGATGAGAGATGATCAATGTGTGATGATGAAATTGCTTGTTTTGTTGTGATAAGGATTAGATGTTTGTTTAGCTTTCGATTCAACGGAACATAGAAACGAATTATTGCTACGAATCACACTTTGTGCATTGCTTTAGTTGAATATTTTGTATTTTAAATTTGGAGTTAATTTGTGTTAGATCATGCTATGTTCGGTTTTAGACCTCACCATAGGAAATTTATGATACGAAGTATTGAGTAGTGAGTGATTTATATGATTTGGGCCTTCTTTGATCCGTTTGAGCCTTTCAAGCCGACCTTTTCATCGAAATTTTCCTTAGAACCTTGAATTGAGCCTCGGAGAAAAGGTGTTCTTTCTTTTAGCCAATGTGTATAAGGTAGAATAGATGGAGATTCTTGAAAAATTACCCCTTGGAGTTCGGTTGAAATTTTTTATAAGGTCTCTCTTCTTCTTAAAAAAAAAAGAAAAAAAAAATAGACGAAGAAGTATATAGGCTTCTATATATATTTATAAAAGAAAAAAAAAACAAAAAGAGAGAAGAAGAAGAAGAGACTAGAAGTGAGAAGAAAGGACTAGTTGTTGAAATTATTTTTGAAAGCTCGATCTATTGCCTCAAAAGCAAAAGTGGAGACTTTTGAACTTTTGAGAAACGAGTTAATTAAAGTCCTTAGAGGTGAATTCATTGTTTCAAACGCCTATCTTTCAGATTTTGGCGTAATCACCTCAATTCAAGAATAATAGCCACATACAACCATATTTCCTACCTCG